ACTTTTTTTCAACAATGCAAACAGCAGCTGTACATGTGAACTTCACCAGATGGAACACACAGGAATCAGATTGACTACATCTGTGGCAAGAGGCGATGGAGAACTTCAGTATCTTCAGCCAAAATCAGGCCAGGAGCTGATTGTGGAACAGACCATCAACTGCTCATATGCAAGTTTAACTTGAAGTTAAAGACAATTAAAACAAGTCTGCAAGAGCCAAAATATGATCTTGAATATATTCCTCCTGAATTTAGAGACCATCTGAAGAATAGATTTGATGCATTGAACACCAGTTACTGAAAACCAGAAGAATTGTGGGTTGACATCAAGAGCATCATCCATGAAAAAAGCAAGAGGTCACTAAAAAGACAACAAAAGAAGAGAAGACCAAAATGGATGACAGAAGAGACTCTGAAATTTGCCCTTGAGCATAGAGTAACTAAAGCAAATGAAAGAAATGACAAGATAAAAGAAATGAACCGAAGATTTCAAAGAGCAGCTCGAGAAGACAAAGCCAGTTACTATAATGAAATGTGCAAAAACCTGGAGTTAGAAAACCAAAAGGGAAGAACACACTCGGCATTTCTCAAGCTGAAAAAATTGAGAAAAAAATTTAAGCCTCGAGTTGCAATATTGAAAGATTCTAAGGGTAAACTTTTGAATGATGCAGGGAACATTGAAAGAAGATGGAAAGAATACACAGAGTCACTGTACCAAAAAGAACTGGTCGATCTTCATCCATTTCAGGAAGTGGCATATGATCTAGAACCAGTGGTACTGAAGGAAGAGGTCGAAGCTGCAGTGAAGGAATTGGCGAAGAACAAGGCTCCAGGAATTGACGGAATACCCACTGAGATATTTCAACAAACAGATGCTGCACTGGGGGCACTCACTCTATTATGCCAAGAGATTTGGAAGACAGCTACCTGGCCAGCTGACTGGAAGAGGTCCATATTTGTACGCATTCTAAAGAAAGGTGATCCAACAGAATGTGGAAATTATCGAACAATATTATTATACAGCACGAAAGCAAGATCTTACTGAAAGTAATTCAAAAACAGTCGCAGCAGTATATTGATAGAGAACTTCCAGAGGTGCAAGCTGGATTCAGAAGAGGACGTGAAACAAGGGGTATCATAGCTGCTGTTAGATGGATCTTGGATCAAGGCAAAGAATACCAGAAAGATGTTTACTTGTGTTTTATTGACTATGCAAAGGCATTTGATTGTGTGGATCATGACAAATTATGGATAACATTGAGAAGAATGGGAATTCCCCAATATTTGATTGTACTCATGAGGAACCTGTACCTTGACCAGAAGGCTGTGGTTCGAAAGGAACAAGGGGACACTGCGTGGTTTAAAATAAAGAAGGGAGTGCATCAGGATTGTATCCTTTCCCCCATACTTACTCAATCTGTATGCTGAGCAAATAATCCTAGGAGCTGGCCTATATGAAGACAAACGTGGCATCAGGATTGGAGGAAGAATCATTAACAGCCTGAGATACACTGATGATACAACTTTGCTTGCTGAAAGTGAGGATGACTTGAGGCACTTACTGATGAAGATTGAGGAACACAGTCCGCAGTATGGATTACATCTCAATAAAAAGAATACAAAAATCCTCACAACTGGACCAATAAGCAGCATCATGATAAATGGAGAAAATATTTCAGTTGTCAAAGAATTCACATTGCTTGGTTCTACAATTGACACCAATGGAAGCAGCATTCAGGACATTAGACAACGTGTAGCACTGGGCAGGTTGGCTGTGAAGGAACAGTTTCAAGTGCTGAGTAGCAAGGATGTCTACCTGAGGAGTAAGGTGCACCTGACACAGACCATGGTATTTCCAGTCGCCTCGTATGCATGTGAGAGCTGGACAATGAATAAGGAAGACCAAAGGAGAGTTGATGCTTTTGAGTTGTGGTGCTGGGGAAAAATGCTGAAGGCACCATGGACTGCCAAAAGAACTAACAGATCTGCCCTGGAGGAAGTGTGGCCAAGATGCTCCCTGGGAGCGAGGATGACCAGATTTTGTCTCATCTACTTTGATCATGTTGTCAGAGGGGACCATTCCCTGGAGAAGGATGTCATGCTTGGTAAGGTGGAGGGTCGATGAAAGAAGGGGAGGCCTTTGACGAGATGGATTGACACGGTGGCTGCGACAATGGGCTCAAGTATAGCAAGGATCATGGAGCTGGCGCGGGATTGGGTGGTATTTTGTTCTGCTGTGCATGGGGTCACTATGAGTCAGAAACAACTCGACAGCACCTAACAACAACAACAATAAATGTATTATGTATCATACTAGGTATTGCTCTGGTATCTTGTTTTCAAAATGTAAAGCACTTTGTAGTTAATAACACATGACCCATATTCTTATGGACCTTATATTGTAGCAGAAGGATGTAAATTAAATAAAAAAATTCATAGTATTCAGTTACAATTGTATAATAAGTGTATGGAGAACAAGTAGAATGTGCAGCAAGAATATACACTAGAAACCTTAACCTAGTTTGTAGGACTAGGGAATGTTTTTTTGAAGTTTAACCTGAAAATTTAGCAATTAACTAGGGAAGCAGGAAGTGTGGCTGGAAAGTAGTGTGAAATCTTTGAGGTGGGAAGATGTTTCTGGAGTGCTAAGAGTGAGAAGAGAGGTATAAGCTGAGATGGTAGAGATGGTCTAGGTCACAAGAATACCTGTAGTCTTTAAAGTGTTATTCAAGGGTACTTTATAATTGGAGCTACATTTTCTACAGATTGATCTAGCAGATAGCCAGTAGACTGGAGAGAGGCCAGAGTAGGTATGGGGAGACCAGAGACTTTACTTCAATCTTCCAAACCTGACTTCTTCCTTATTCATATCTGTCAAATGAGGAATAAAAGGAAGCTAGTTTTCAAGAAGGACCGTGTTCTGTAGTGTACAGTGCTACTGAGGCCAGGTAAGATGAATTCTGAAAATATGCATTCATTGTAGAATTGTAGTGGCCTCATGAGTGACATCAACAAGACCTGTTATCAGTGAACAGAAGTTGGACAGAAAAGAGCTGCGTCTCTTTCCCAGCAGCGCCTGTCTTTCAGGAGTGCATGTGTTTTTCAGCAGCACGTCCTTCTCAGCCAGCAGTCAAAGAGACTTCTTCTGCCTTTAGGAGGCCTCCTTTTGAGCCTGGCAGAGTGACCAAACTAACAACTCATAACATCAGAATTCTAAGCACCTGAGTGAGAGTGAACTTCCCAGAAATGATACTAAGATGATTTGACATGGTGGTAGTGAAGGTAGAGAGAAATGGACAAATATGAGAAATATTTAGAAGGTGAATTTGATGGGGCTTATTATGTGCAGGTAGCTGTAGAGAGAGCAAGATCAAGAACCATGTCCACGTTTGTGGCTTAGGCACCTTGATAGATGGTGGTACTAGGAAGCTTACATAGGTAAGACTGAAAGACTGATAGGGCAGAAGATAATGAGATTAGTTTGGGACATGCTGATCTTGCTATTTCTTTGTGACAAACCAAGAAGAAATGTCAAGTAAGCCATTTGATAGTGTTTAAATTCATTTGATAGTATTTAAATTTCAGAAGAGAAGGCTAAGTTTTGTAGTTATGACTTGAGAATCATCAGTTTATAAATGCTAATTAAAGCCAAATCCTGCGATCACTTGAGAGAGGTTAGAATAGGAGGAGAGGAGGTTCTATGGCTTGACTTTGAAGAAAGCCAACATTATAGTGTGTGATAAGAAAAAGGTGAAGTGATAAAGAAGATTGAGAAGGGGAAGTGAGAAAAGTAAAAGGAAGGCTGGTGACTATGGTCATGTTGAAGTCCAGGGATGATAGGATATTGGAAAGGAAGGAGATCAATATGGTAAGGGCTGGAAAATATTCATAAGATGAGTTGCTCCATGGTGAGCCAAAATGATATGATTAGGCTGGAATGTTGAAGAGGGAAGGTGAAGAAATGTGATAGCCCATGTAAGTGACTCTGAAGAAATTAAAAGAAAGAGAGAACCAGGGGAAGTGGGGTCAAGAAAGGGCTTCTTCCTTCTCTCTCTCACTTTTTTTTTTTTTTTTTTGGAAGTTGCTAGAGATAGCAGATTATGTAATGTTGAGGGTTAGGTGATGGTGGGCATACACTTACTGCTCCTCCATCTTCCAAAATGGACAGAAAGTGATAGATTTGCCCCTCCCTTCCTATACCAAGACTGAGAATAATGTCTGAAACATAGGTAGATGCTCAATTTTTTTTTTCTTTTTTTTATTGAATGAGTAAAAATGAATATAACAGCTGGAAAAAGAACATTTGCTGTTAATGTGCCAGAAAATTTTAGGCATTTTGGGGTGACAGAAAAGATAGGGATCATGTTGACTAGGAAAACAGCAACCCTATAGGCAGTCCCAAGAGAACTGTGGCAGACAGAAGTCTTTCTTTATATCAGAGCATCAAGAAGGATTAACCTGATGCAGCAGTGGGCTGTGTTTAGGGTGGTGAATTGAGGGTCCACCAGCAGAACCCAGATTCTAAGGGGCTGGCAGCTGAGCATTTGCATCCAGGATAAAGACTAGAGAATTATTCTCTAAATAAAACAAGGAATCTGTCTGGTGAAAACTTGGACGTGAAGTGGTAAGCAGAGCAGAGATTCCAGTAACTCAGAACCTCTACCACAGACATGAAAATAAAAAAGGAAATGCAGTGCTATCCAGGAGTAAAGCTAACTATTTAATCCTTACAACAAATGATTGGGGAGGAGCTTTTATTTTTCCTGTTTTATAGGAAGGAAGTGTATGTAATTGCCCTGTTTCCTATGACTAACTCGCTGACCTGGAATTTAAATCCAGGCCTGTTTCACTTCAGGCCAAATCCCTTACCACCCTACTTTGTAGCCTGCTGTTTCCCAGTGGCTTGGGTCTACAAGTTCAGAGATGAAGCAAATAGTGGTATTTGCATTATAATGAAAATTGTGCAGTGCTTACAGATTATTCTTTCTCTTTATTTTATAGTATATGAACCATCGGAAAATGAAAGAATAGAAATTTCAGGTAAATTTTTTCCCTGAACAATTGTTTCCTGCAAGTCAGCCTTCTAGTATTTGTTAAATTGTTATAACATGTGGAACAAAGAGTAAGTCTACCAAAAAATGAAAAGACATTTTCAAGTCACCAAGAAAGTAATTGGGTATTGTTAATATATCTATTCCATATTTATGATGTAAAAATTATGTTAACAGGTATAATATCAGCTTAATTAATGTATTCTTTATATATAATTTAGAAATTAAAGTCACTATTAATATAAAGACTTATAAGTCACTCTTATAAGAAGACCTGGTTCACACAAAGCCAGATTTAGAGATTGGAGTGAGTTAATGAAACATGTTTTTGCTTTTTTTTTTTTAGATAATGCTGTAGAAGATTCAAACATAATTTCAGAAGGTAAGTTAATTTTCTAGAAATAGTTTCACTTCCATATTAAAAATGTATTCACTTATTCAATATATTAAGGACTTACTATTTGCTATCTATACAGTATTCAGGAGCTAGGGGTATAGAGTGAATAAGACAGACAAGTTCCTGTTTTATTTGGGGCTAGCTGTTGCTGAAAAGGCAAGGAGACCACATCTTCCAACCTCCTGTAATCTCACAAGAGGAAGACAGAATCACCATCAGTAGCCCAAGGCTTATTCCTGCCAGGCCAGACATGCTACCTACCTTGAGCCCTTTCACCAATCCTGGCACCAAACGTTCCTCCCACAGCACTTACCACCTTTCTGCTGGGTTCGATAATTCACTGCCGTGGCCACACAGAACTCACAGATTATGGGGTGTATTAGGGAAGCACAAGGCTACAATTCAAGTGCAGAAAAAAAAACGCTCAGTCTCTCTCAGCCTGCGGTCTCTCAGCCAACAGTCTCTCATAGTCTCTGTCCTAGCAGTGCATGTCCCTCGGTGTCTCACTCAGCAGTACGTGTCTCTTGCATCTCTTTCCCAGCAGTGCATGTCTCTCAGGAGCACCTGTCTCTTTCAGCAGCACGTCCTTCTCAGCCAGCAGTCAGAGAGACTTCTTCTGCCTTTAGGAGGCCTCCTTTTGAGCCTGGCAGAGTGATCAAACTAACAACTCATAACATCAAAATTCTAAGCACCTGAGAGAGAGCGAACTTCCCAGAACATTACTTTGTGCTGCTCCCAACAAATACCCCACGTGGATGATTTTAGCAATTAGGAGCTGCTCAGTTTCTCACAGTAAATTCCACCATGGAGTTTCCAAAGACTTATGGCTAGAAAAGCCATACCAGGTAATTTACTACAGCACAGCTATCTAGTAATGAAATATATGGTAAAGAATTGAACATTATGAAAAATTTGGTGATGGAGATAAACAGGACACTGTAATAGAGAGTAACTGAGTAGGATAAGGAGGGCTACTCTAAATAGGGAGTGCTGTGATCTCCTTAAGGAGCTCTGGTGGCATAGTGTCTAAGGCATTTGACTGCTAACCAGAAGGCTGGTGATTCAAACCCACCAGCCACTGCACAGAAGGAAGAGTGGGCAATCTACTTCCCTAAAGGTTTACCACCTCAGAAGCCCAAAAGGGGTTGCTATGAGTCAGAGTCAACTTGATGGCAGTGTGTTTGATTTTTTGGGTTGGTGACCTCCTTATAAGTGATCTGGTGAAAAAGAATTAGCCACAAGCAGAGATTGGTTGAAAGATGGGTCCTTTATGCTGTTCTTCAACATGAAAGAAAGGTTTTTGAAAGTTGCAATAATAAAAGTTTACAATAATAAAAAAGTTGCATATATTGTTGTTGTTAGGTGCTGTTGAATCATCTCTGATTCATAGTGACCTTATGTACAACAGAACAAAACACTACCTGGTCCTGTGCCATCCTCATGATCCTTTCTATACCTCACCCAATGTTGCAGCCATGGTGTTAATCCATTGTGTTGAGAGCCTTCCCCTTTTTCGTTGACTCTCCACTTTACCAAGCATGATATACTTCTCCAGGGAATGGTTCCTTCTGACAGCATGACCAAAGTAGGTGAGATGAAGTCTGGCCATTCTTGCTTCCAAGGAGCATTCCAGCTGCACTTCATCCGGGACAGATTTGTTAGTTCTTTTAGATTTGTTAGTCCATGGTACTTTTAGTATTCTTAGCCAGCACTATAACTCAAAAACATCAACTCTTCTTTGGTCTTCTTATTCATTGTTGAGCTCTCACATGCATAAAAGCCGACTGAAAGTGTCATGCTGTGGGTTAGGCACACCTTAGTCTTCAAGAAGACATCTTTGCTCCTCAGCACTTGAAAGAGGTCTTTTGCAGCAGATTTGCCCAATGTAATATGTCGTCTGATGTCTTGACTGCTGCTACCATTGGTGTTGATTGTAGGATCAAGTAATAGGAAGTCTTTTACAACGTCATTCTTTTCTCTGTTTTTCATGATGTAGTTTACTGGTCCAATTGTGAGGATTTTTGTTTTCTTTGTATTGAGGTATAATCCATATTGCAGACTACAGCCTTCAATCTTCATCAATAAATTCTTCAAGTCATCCTCACTTTCAGCAAGCAAAGTTGTGTCATCTGTGTATTGCAGGTTGTTAAGGAGCCTCCCTCCAATCCTGATGCCACAATCTTCTTCATATAGTCTAGCTTCTTAGATTATTTGTTCAGCATACAGATTGAATAAATATGGTAAAAGGATGCAACCCTCATGCACGCCCCTCCTGATTTAAAACCACGCAATATCCCCTTGTTCTGTTCGAACAACAGCCTCCTGGTCTGTGTACAACTTCCTTACGAGTACAATTAAGTGTTCTGGAATTCCCATTCTTTTCAGTGTTATCCATAATTTGTCATGATCCACACAATCTAATGCTTTTGCCATAGTCAATAAAACACAAGTAAACATCTTTCTGGTATTCTTTGCTTTCAGCCAAGATCAATATATTAAATAATGGTATTTCAACACTGCTAAAGAGGCAAGGAGGCCACATCTTCTGACCTCCTCTAACTGCAGAAGAGGAAGACAGAATCACTAACAGTAGCCCAAGGCCTATTCCTGCAAGGCCAGCCATACTGCCTCCCTCCAGCCCTTTCACCAACTGTTCCTCCCAAAGCACCCACCACCTCTCTCCTGGGTTCGATAATTCACTGCTGTGGCCACACAGAACTCACAGATTATGGGGTTTATTAGGGAAGCACCAGGCTAAAATTCAAGTTCAGGAAAAACGCTCAGTCTCTCAGCCGCCATCTCTCACCCAACGGTCTCTCACAGTCTCTTTCCCAGCAGTGTGTATCCCTGGGTGTCTCTCTCAGCAATACGTGTCTCTTCGGTCTCTTTCCCAGCAGCACATGTCACTCAGGAGCATGTTTCTTCTCAGTAGTTAGTCCTTCTCACCCAGTAGTCAGAGAGAGAGCTCTGCCTCTAGGAGGCCTCCTTTTGAGCCTGGCAGAGTGGCCAAACTAACCAATCATAACATCAGAATTCTAAGCACCTGAGAGAGAGCGAACTTCCCAGAACATTGCTGTGCCACACCCAACAGAAATACCCCAAGTGGATAATTTTTACAATCAGGAGCTCCTCAGTTGCTCACAGCAAATTCCACCATGGAGTTTACAAAGACTTATGGGTAGAAAAACCACATTAAGAAATTTACTGCACCACAAACACTACTTGGATTTATATATTAACAGGTTGCAAAGTTCTTTCACATACATTAATTCAATTGTTCCTCATAGTAGACACTAAGGAGGAGGTAGGACATATGTCTTTATTCTTATTCTATAAATTAAGACCTGAAACTAGAGCAAAGTCAAAGGACTTGCCAACATCCTGTGGCTGGTCAGCAGCTAAGCTCATATTGGACCTAGGATTGGGACCTGGTGCTGATTCTTTGTGTGGGTATGCATTTGAATAATAACAAGTTGCCCCAAAAAGCATAAAGCAAGGAGAATTTTGCTCATCGAATTATTTCATATAATTCATTTATGAGTAATTGTCAATTTCAGATTAAACATTACTGCTGTTGAGCAAACCCTGGATAATGTCTCAGTCAACTAAATGGAGAGAAGACAGTAGCAGGTGTGGAGGGATGGAGACTTGGAGATAAAAGCTCTCTTGTCAGCTTAGTTGTCCAAAACCCCTGAGTGGGGCTTATGTGCTCACTGTGTATACACAGGGGTCCATCTCCATGTAGTTCCTGCCTCCCATTTCTCGGTTCTTCATGAGGAATATTAATGTTCCGAAGAATATGGTCGGCTATGTATTTTTATTTTAGAATCAAAAGATGGAAACCAAGGAAGAACTTCATCCAACACTTCTACATATATTGTTTTGGATATAAGAACCAGCATCACAAAATGCAATTTAGCCCTACTTTCTGCTTCTACTTCTGTCAGTACTGTGTACTAACAGTACAATTTTTCCTAAGTTACATTTCAGGCATTTTGATAAGCTTGTAGATTATAGAAGACACAGCAGAGACTGCTAATGGAATTCCTTGTGTGGACTGTGGAACTAGTCTAAGTACCTTCAGCCCAGCCTGCAGTTTTTATGCTGGGCTCTTGTCAGTACCTGACAACTGAGGGGGAACCCAGCATCTTTGTATTTTGATCCCCCAACCACTCTTCTTTCCTATTTCTTTGCTTATCCTGGCTGGTTGCATCAAAATACATTTGGTTTCCCAAACCAGAAATGGAGTAGCTACCACTTAGTCCTATTTTTCCCTCTATCTCTATTTAAAAACAAAAAA